TATCCCAAGCCAAACAGGCTTTTAGGAACAGGAAGGAAAGGGCTGCTCAGGGTGTTTGAGGAAAGCTATAGAAGGTCCTCCCCTCACTCAGCATGCAGGACTTACGTATCTTAGGTTTAACACTTTGCTGCATCAGTTCAAACCTGAGCCAGAGCTCCACATACCAATGCAGCCTGAGCATGCTGTGTGTGTCCTGTGGTCTGAGCCGAAGCATTTGAAAATTACAGAAGTGGACTTTAATTCTTTCTTTCTTTCTTTCTTTCTTTCTTTCTTTCTTTCTTTCTTTCTTTCTTCCTTCCTTCCTTCCTTCCTTCCTTCCTTCCTTCCTTTCTTTCTTTCTTTCTTTTTTCTTTCTTTTTTTTTTCTTGAGACAGGCTTTCTCTGTACTTTGGAACCTATCCTGGAACTAGCTCTTGTAGAGCAGGCTGGCCTCAAACTCACAGAGATCTTCCTGCCTCTGTCTCCCAGGTGCTGGGATTAAAGGCATGTACCAACACTGCCCAGCGAATTTAAATCTTGATACCATTCCCCCCTCCTTTTTTTTAAAGAGTTCAATCCAGAGAAATTATGCTATCCCACTACAGAGAAATTCAAGTATAAACTGATGGTAGCTATCGGGGACCGCCCAAGAGCCCAGAAATGAGATGGTACTTTTAGAAAGGAAGAAACGGGGCTGCAGAGGTGGCTCTAAGCTAAGAGCGCTTGCTGCTTCTGCGAAGGACTGGACTCCAGCTCGCAGCACCCACATAGAGCAGCGCACAACAGCCAGTACCAGGGCATCTTATGCCCACTTCTGGCCCTGTGGGTGTCCAAGTGCATGTACACTTGATACCGTTTTTTAAAAGCTAGTAGAATTGGAAGAAGTAGCAAATTTAAATACCAGAAAATCCTTTATGCTTAAATGTCAGGTAAATCGAGAATATCTTTAATCAATTCCTCTTCAATTCTTAGATCATACTTACACCAATGTCTGAGCTATTCATTTGAAATCAGATGTAACTGGATGTCCTTTATCTGGCATCTTTTCAGGGTGACCATGAAGCACCTGCTTATGAAGAGTTGCAGGCTTACATGTGTGGTGCAATGATCTTTCTCATTGTACTTAGGATATTTTTGGTGTGCCATTAGAATTTACAGAAAGTCAGCAAGTTAAATTTCAGTTTCCCTCTTCAAAAATACAGCCAAGAAGAGGACAACTTATGTAAATCTTTTAACCAAAAGACCTATCATGATAAGGACTTCTATGTGAATTTTGAATTGTTGTTTTTTCTTTAACGAATGTTGGCCACTCTTGCATATGAATTCACATTGTTTAAAGTAAACTTAAACAGACTCCTGATCATGTGTATGATTTGGAAACAGTCATTGGCACCTGAGCTTGAACTCTACCCTCCTTCCTGGATGTTATTGAACTGCAGGATTTGTTACAGTTCATTCTTGGGGAATTTATTCATAAGAGAGACTTCTCTTTTTGTTGTTCTTTGTTGTTGTTGAGGGGTTTTTTTTGGAGATTTTTTTATTTATTATATATACAGTGTTCTTCTTGCACCCAGAAGAGGGGACCAGATCTTATTATAGATAGTTGTGAGCCACCATGTGGTTGCTGGGAATTGAACTCAGAAACCCTGGAAAAATAGTCTGTAGTGTTAACCTTTGAAACATCTTTCCAGCCCAAGAGAAGCTTCTTATGCTCTGAAGTTAAGACTGCAGGGTCAATTACTTTAGGAAGATTTTGCTTTGAGTATGTGATCCTGTGAGAGTGTGAGTACACGGTGCCATGACCCTTCTGGGATCAGAAGGCTACCTTGGGTTTTCATCCTCATCAGTTGAGACCAAGTCCTTATTCACTGCCGCAGACACCAGGCCAGCTGACCCTCGGGCTGCTGCAGAGATGCCACCTTCCATCTCGCTGGAGGAGTGATGGCATTACAGTCACATGCTGTCATGTCTGCCTCACGTGGGCTCGGGCCACTCAGACTCAGGACCGCAACCTTGAATTGTTTCCCCAGCCCATAGGAACGATATTTGATTGATTTTTGAATTATTGGCTGGTGTCCTTAGAAAAATAAAGTTGTAAATGCCTTTGAGTTGTCCCAGACGACTCAGTCAGAGGTTCTCAATCTGGTAACATGGAGGAAAAACAGAAAGACTTTTAAAAAATGTTTCTCAGTCAGTCTTACATCTCTGTATTTGTGACTGAATCAAGGTTTGGAAATAGGATCTGGAAATCCTTACTGTACTATTCCATGGAGTAACCAGGGCAGTGAACCACAGGGCTAAAAGCATTTTGCAGTGAAAAGAGAATGAACAGCCCTTCTTTGGTCCGCCTTCCATTCTCTTTTCATCTTTATTTTTAACTTAAGGTGTTTTTTTTTAAATTTATTTATTTATTTATTATGCATACAATATTCTGTCTGTGTATATGTCTGCAGGCCAGAAGAGGGCACCAGATCTCATTACAGATGGTTGTGAGCCACCATGTGGTTGCCGGGAATTGAACTCAGGACCTTTGGAAGAGCAGGCAATGCTCTTAACTACTGAGCCATCTCTCCAGCTCCCTTCTCTATTCATCTTTACTGAGTGAATGAACAAGTCCTCTGCGAAAACAAATGTAGTCAGCTGTGTGCATTCCACATCCACAGATTCAACTAGCCTCCATTTTAATAATTTGCACATGGAAAGCAAGAAATCCCCAAACTCTAGAATATTTATTATTTCTTTCCTTCCTTGTGGAAGGTGATGTGCCAGCTATTAAGTCCCTTCAATAATTTTCCCTTGAAAACTTCCTGCGCTATCAATAGAACAGAGGAATATTAATTTCTTTCTGGCCCAAAGTTGTTCTACCCAGAGCTCCCAGGGAGTGATGTCACCTCTGCAGTCAGCCTGAGCCCACCTGCCACTAATCCTCCAAGCATCCTTCCCCTCTCTCACTTCCTCTGCCTTGGCTTTGGCCCCACTGAACTTCTGCTCTGGGAGCAGCCTAGTAGTCAGAGCACTGGCTCCCAGGGAGAAGCGGCAGAAGGCTCAAATGGTGCCTGCTTGCATCATTCTCTTAACTGCGCCCTTGTATGGACTTGTGAAACGCTTCCAGCATCTCCGACAGAAGACACTATGTAAACATGAGGTACTTTCTCTTTTTTCTCCACAAGTTATTTGTGTTTATTATTAACAATTAGGAATACTGAGCACATAGAGCAATGCTTTGGTAGTGTCTTCGGATTTGAGACATGTGATGCCGAGCAGTGGTTTTCTTCCTATATTACCCAGTATCTTAATATAGCATTACTGTTTCCTACCAGAATAGCATTACATTGTAGGTCTTTCCCCTTTAATATTTAATTATAAGGCGTAGTCTTTTTGTTTTTTTTAACTTTCTGTGTAGAACCAGGGTTGTTGCCCAACCTGATGACCGGTATTTAGAACTAGAACTCTTTGGGTACACTTCTGCTGTGTGAATCAGATTGGCTTTGATTCACTGGAAATAAACAACATTTTCTTAGCTAGAAATCAGCAAGTGTTGTGTGTTGCTGTTTGTATTAAGGGACAGATATTGATTCTGAAACCAGTGAGTGGATCTTGCAGGTACTGGTGCATTATACTCTCCGGTCACAGCTTCTCTCTTATCTGTGCCCTGGCTTCCTCCTAGCCACGTAGTGAGCCAGTGAACTGATGGAGCCTGGAGGAATTGTCTTGTAGTTTGTGGTTGTGGAATTATCCTAGACTGATAAATGGGGTAGGATTTTCAAGTTTACGACTTCCTGGTTCAATTATTTTGAGGAAAATAAAACAATTCCATAAAACACCTTTGAAAATTTAAAGTCTCCTCAAAAAAAGTGGAGACTCACCTGAATCTAGGTGGATGTTAATGTTACCCCACTTTAGATTTGAACCATAACATCTTTCTCAAGAATCTAGATATGTGTTTATGGAAGAAATCGTGGCCATTTTTATTATTAAAAAAAAATTACAGAATGGACATTGTCACAGAAGTACTTCAGATCTTCATCTTTGTAAAGGACCTTTCGTTATACCTTACTGATGAGGGTTAAATCACAGGGGATTTGTTTACACTGAAAGTCACACACGAGAGAATCTTGCTCAAGCTTCCCTTCAAATAGTGTTCAGTTCAAGAGGGGCTCCTTGGGCCACACCACCACTGCACATAGTTAGATCGCGGAGTCACTTTGGCATGTGTGACACAGAGGAATTTAATTGTCTCTTCCTCCTTTTCTCTGCTGGCTCGTGGGCTCTCTCCTTCATTTCACAATCTGTCTCTTCAGTATTTTTTCTTTGGTGTGTGTGTGTGGGGGGTCATCGTAAGGACACCTGTGTCTGCAGGGTCACGGTCTCAGCCTTGTGTCCAATCTGCCTGATTTCTCTCCATCACTGCTTGAATCGGTCTGCCAATTGTTTCTCCTCTCTCGGTGTCTTCATTAGAGCTTTTCTCTAGATGTTCTCGTTTCCTCTCGGAGCTTTCCCCATTGCTAGAACCCTTTCCTCTGAGGAGGCTGCCAGGAGTGTGTCTAGAGCACTTCCGCCCTGAGAACAGGCTGCAGTAATTTCCCGAAGCCGGCTAGCAAATGCTCTAGCAGTTCAGACCATGGCATTACTTCAAGGTAAAAAAACGGTCCCCTTTTTTCAATCCAGTTTTCTGACAGAAGATTCTTGGCCAGGAGAGCATGTGATGTGGTTGGCATCTCTTGTTCCTTGTGGACCACTGACCGGCATTCACCCTTCCCATTGTCCCCCGTATGTGGTAACAGGAAGGAGGGAAGGACGAACGGCAGGCGATCGTCACTACCCAGTGAAGGAGGCCGACTGAAGAAGGCAGGGTCTTCCATTCTGCTTTTATCTCCTTGCCGTAACCACTAACAAGCTTTGTTTGTTCATTCCTAGTGTATACTTGTGCCTGTCTGTTACCACCGGGGATGTTCGCTAGCACCTGCCTGGGGTGTGAAGGTTAATGTCCGCTCTTCTATTTTCTGATTTCTGAACTTCAGGAGAAGGTAAAGCTTGATGCTGAGAGGGAAAAGCTAGAGAGGCTTCAGGAGCTTTACTCCGAGCAGAAGACCCAGCTGGACAATTGTCCTGAGTCCATGAGGGAGCAGTTACAGCAACAACTCAAGAGGGTCAGTAGCAAACAGGAATGCACCGCTTGTTTGGTTTGTTTGGTTTTTTGTTTGTTTGTTTTTTCCTTTGCTGTTAAGTTCCGCTTACCTGTGACTTACCACTTCACATAGCGTACATTTGCCTAAGTTCTAGTTTCTAGGTCCTTAAAAGTAGGAATATGCGTGCTAACAGTGTGTATGTTTTGGTGTCAATCAGTTGAAAGATTACCTTGTTGGACTTCTGTCTCCAGCATATAACGCTAACATGTTTCTGGAGACCTTCTTGGTAACTAACGAGAAATCATTCCTGACTTGTAAATGTCGCAAAGATTGTAGCATTTAAACCAAGTGGCATCTTCCTCTACTGCATCGTGAGTACTGTTTGTCCTTGAATGTCTTTCTTCTTAGCTTGATTTTATGCTCTATTTAAAAATCACCCTAGGCTGTTTGCACCACCCCCTTGGCACTTTAGAGACATTCTGCTTATTAGTATGGTGAAAACAAACACTAATATCAAAGATGCAGAGTATTACAGATGCCTTCGACATCTTTTCACACAGGCATCTTAACTTCTAAAAGGGTCCTGGAGCACGGGCCTGCTAGTTGAACGTTACCAGCTCGTTCTCCTATTCCTACTGCCAGCAGGGCTTAAAGGAGCCTGCTGATTATTTTCTGGAAAGAGATGTCGTAAGTGGATAGTTTCACGAGCGCAGGCACAGCCACGCATGATTTCAGAGCATCTTGACAACGAGGTCATCTCTGACCCAGCAGCTCAAATCAACAGTGATCCCTGGGAAGTAGGCATTAGCAGTCTTGCGCCTCTCAAGGAATCACAGGAATAGGAATTAGACTTAAGTGAGTAACAATGCATGATTTCACTAGAGTAGACAAGAAACTTCCCTTGTATCTTCTCAGAATGAGCGAGAAGAAAATTCAGTTGCTGTAGTACACTTGAAACAAATTCTGTGACCTTTTTTACAAAAACATTTGATATTTAATGGAACATTGTTAGCCAATGAGAAATCAGAGTTAAAACTGTTTCAAGTATTGCAGAGGTTCTATTTTAAGAAGGTAGGTATGGTACTGTATGCCTAGAACCCTAGAGGCCAGCCCGGTCTTCATAGTGCATTCTACCCAGCTAGAGCTGCATGACAAGACCAAGTCTCAAACAAACAAACACACATGAAAAAGTATCCGATGCAGACAATTTAAACCACAACACAGCACACGGCATTTGTTTTACAATCGCATTAAAGGATGTTTTAACAAGCCATCTTTCCCCTTCACTTATTTTTCTTCTGTAAAGCTGAACTCACTGCCAAGAAAGCAAAACAAAGCCAACCAAAAACACTAACCTGTCCCCTGCTATCATAGTTCTTTGCTATCATAGTACTTTTCGATAAAAATCATTTTAAAAAGACTAATATTTTAGTTTGTAATTATGTCTATGCCAGTTCATATAAGAGATGGGAATGTCGGACTTTATCTTCACTTCTTAATGTTTTAAAAAACCCTGCTTTTTGCTGATGATTTAGTACTGTGTTCATGATTTTTGTCTAGGGTATGGATTTTATTCTTTCTTTCCTCTAGTTGCTCACATATCTGTGTTCTTCATAAGCCTCGCTTCTATAGTCTGTTAGGAACTTGAAGTTGTTAATATCACTAATGACTGTTTGTATTATCTGATTCTGTAGGAGAACTCCTACGTCTATCTATGCTCTAGGAATCATGCCTCCCAGGAAGGAAGGAAATGATATGAAAGTGGTTCCATCAACCAAAAACAGAGACTCCTACCTCATCCTCTACCAACAGAAGGGAAAAAAAACCTAACATAGGCCCTTTCCTTAGCTCGTGGTAGCATGTGCTCCCCTCTGAGTCAGAGACCTCATAATTCTGTTGCCTAGGCCTCAGGCCTGTGTAACCCTTCACTGACTTCTTGCCTTGACCAGTAGAAATTTGCCCAAGTTCATCCATATTAGGAACCTCCTGTGTTGAGATGGCGCATTTCTCTTCAGACCGCAAAAGCTTCCCAGAGGCATAACACTAGAGTCAATAGTCTATTTTCTGACAAAGAGGATAAGTAAAATCATTTCCTTAAGCTGGGTGCTGCCTGGAAAACTTGAGCTGAACTGTCTTGGTCAAGTGACTTATGCACTCCGGACATCTTATCAGCAAACCACTGTTCCAGCCAAGCATGCAGGCCACGGCGGGTGGCTCCTGGCAGCTGTGCAGTCGGAGAGGCTTGCCAATCCCGGGCTGCTCTCAGTGACAAGGAGAAGCTGAGATTAAGAGTGCTTTTGTTAGTCAGGATACTTTCTGCTGCTAAAGTGGCTGAGGCAGACACATAGCTACGGTGATGTTCTAATGCTGTTTATAATAATCGTTACTCTAGATTCTCAACCTGTGGGTTGTGACCCTTGCGGGGGGGTCACATATCAGACATTCTGTCTAGCAAATATTTATATCATGATTCATAACAGTAGCAAAATTACAGTTATGAAGTAGCAACAGAATAATTTTATGATTGGGGGTTCTGCAATATGACGAACTGCATTAAAGGGTTGCAGCATTAGGAAGATGGAGAATTACTGGTCTAGACGGCTGATTTTGGTTTTGTATACTTTAAAAATTGTATGTTGTGGCACCTATAACTGGAAGTGCCCTTTTCCATCACTGGCTCAAAAAGCATTTTTTTCCCATAGTCTAAGAAAAGTCATTTAGCTTCTGTGGCCCTCACGGCCTTTCTGTGTGAAAAGGAAAGTTGACACGCTTGTCCCTTTCCATTCGATGGAATGGGAGGCCTCTTTGACTCCACCACATGATATGGAGAGAGGCTGCTCACCCTGTGCCCCATCTCAGTTTGCCTCCAGAGTTGGACTTAACCCATCGTGAGATGTTTTTCTACCATCACACCCAGCCATACCACATCTGTTCTCACTCTGTCCCCCTCTTGGGCAATGAAAGCCTAAAGATATGCTTGTAAAAATCTTTTTTAAAAACTCAAAAAACCAAAAGTTCTTCCACAAGAACGGACTGGCACCAGGTGTTTTCGGGATGCAGCTGTTGCGTGTCTCCGTTGCCCTTTCAGCGGCCAGCCAGTAGAGGGTGCCATCAAGTGCTGTCCTTCCGGGGACTGAAAGCTTTGTTCCGGTTTTCATTCAGCTCCACATGTACCTGACTAAGAGCTGCCTGTGTCTGTTCCCCCGTCTCAAACTATGCCTGTCTCGAATTCTACTCCCAATTTCTCAGTAGCTGAACTTTTTAAAGGCTTTGTTCCCCCTTCCCATAGCTTTGCTTCCAGCATTTATGTGCACGCTAAGTTGCCGGAGGAGATGGTCACACTCACGGAACCTGGGTGCTGAGCTTAGATGCGTGTTCAGCTCTTCTACGCCATGTGCTATTATCTTCATTCAGTGGTTTAAATATTCCCCACAAACCAATGGGCGACTCTGTTGCTGTCTTTCAGGGTTACGACACGTGTTCTATAGTAACCACATGTGGAGTAAGAGTGTGTACTGTGAGCCATATGTTCACTTTAAAGATGATTCCTAAGACAACAGGGGGACTCCAAAATTTTTGTCTTAACTACCTTTAACCCCAAATTAAGCTTAATTGGAAGAGCTTGAAAACTGAGTTGTATGTCCTTGTATGAATATATATATATATGTATATGTATGTATATATATCATCTAGTACATTATTCCAAGACTGCAGACATTTTGTCCAAGATCAACATTTTAATTCTCCCTTAATTAATTCCTGTAATTAAACAATTCGGATAAGCTGAAAATATTAATCAAAGTCTAGAAATCGAGATACTGAGATACCCTTGGAAAACCAATGAGTGTGTATATGTATTCAAATTTTCTTAAAACATCTTCATAGTGCACTTCTTAAGATTTGGCCTAGATGGATTAGTATCATTCTCCCCCTACCACCCTAGACACATGCACACACATACACACACACAGACACACACCTCCTACAGAGAGAGAGTCTCACAACTCAAGATCCTCTGCCTCAACTTCCTGAGTGCTGGGATTATAGACATGTGCTACCACACCCAACTCGGAATGTTTTTCAGATGGTGTTTTCCTCCCCTACGCGTCCTAACCAGTGTGCATCAGCATATTAACCTTGTTGGTATGGTTCTGTCTGTAATTTCACGGCAACCAGTACCTTTCTGTGACTCATCTCTAGAGTATAATATACTGCAGAGACAGAAAAGTTCCATCTGACTAGAAAACATCACACTTTATCACCAAACGAAACCTGGAAGGAGGACGTTAATGATGCTGCGTTTCTCAAATCATTCCTGTAAACTCTCTGAGATGATGTAATTAAACAGCAGCATCAAGGAATGCCCTAAATGTCTCAGCTCTGCAGAGCCGTTAGCCACACTGTCTAACTGCCTCTTCCTTTTGGCCAAATATTTTTAGGTTATAATTTTAAAAATATGCCACACAGACCACATTTGTAATTCTGTTAGTGGCACTCAGAGTAAAGGGGGTATTTTTTTAATGGACTCAGAAAGAATTTGTACAGTGTGTCCTAACCCGAGCACAAGGAGTGAGTGCATTCCTGTTTGCAGGAACATTCAGAGGTTGAGGAACACCTTTTCATTTCGTCACCTTTGAGCTTCCGTAATGCTTTCAATGTTATTTATGGGCCAGTGGTGCCTAACTTTTTGAATCTGTCTTAGTCAGGGTTACTATTGCTATGATGAAACGCCGTGACCAAAGCAACTCGGGGAGAAAAAGGGTTATTTGGTTTATATGCCACAAGTCACAGTCCACGGAGGGAAGCCAAGGCAGGAACTCAAGCAGGGCAAGAGTCTGGAGCCAGGAGCTGATGGAGAGGTCTTGCAGGCATGCTGCTTACTAGCTTGCTCGGCCTGCTTTCTTATAGAATCCAGAACCGCCAGCCGAGGGGTGTTCCCTTCCCAAGCCCAAGGGTTTTCCCTCTCCTATCAATCACTAATTAAAAAGATGCCCTTCAGTCCTGCCTACAGCTCAGTTTTGGCGAGGCATTTTTCTCAGTTGAGGGTCCTCTCTGGTGACGCTAACCTGTGTCATGTTGACAGAAGCCAGCAGCACAACCTCCCTGTTCCCGTTGAGAGCTCTGCTCCTGCTCTTTGCAGTCAAGAGATTTGTGCACAATTGTAATGGATCCTTAAAAGGCTCAGTGAAAGGATCTTGCTCTCCAAATGCGTTTGGTTTTTTAAAGATGTATTTTCTAAAACCATGTCTCTGTGTGGGTATGTGCATGTGAGTCCAGGTGCACTCAGATGCCCAAAGAGGGCATTAGATCCCCCTGAAGCAGGCATTAGAGGCAGTTTTGGGCTGCCCAGCATGGGTACCCACAGCTGGAAACCAAATCACAACATCTGGAAGAGCAACAAGTGCTTTTACCTGCCGAGCCATCCTTCCAGCATGCCAAATGAGATTTTTAGGGAATTGTATGCTCACAGCAAAACTGAGGAGAAGAGTCAGAGGCTTCCCCCACGTTATGTGCTTCATACAGGCGTAGGCCTCGTTATTACTGTTCCTTCCCAAACTATTGCCTCCTCAACAGAGCTCATGTTCAGGTGCTGCTGGATTGCTCCTTTCAATCAAATTTCTCAAGCATGTAACTCTCCTCTTATAATATGCAGTCAATTACATAATGATCTATAATAAACATTTATTGCATGGGTTTTCAACATTTATATATTTTAATTTATGTATATATGCTTTTCTACTGGTGTGTACATTAGAAAACAATTGTTAAGAAATTCAGCTGGGTATGGTAGCACATCCCTGTAATCCTAGTACTAAGGGTGAACTGGAGCTATAGAGAGAGATCTGAGATAAGGGCGGGGGGGGGGCAAAGGAAGGAAAGAAAAATAGGGAAGATATAAGAAGGAACAAAATTGGAAGAAAAAAAACAATAAACCTAAAATGATTTACTGTTTTTTCCTTATACTCCAGTGGATTATGTTACCACATTTAGGGTCCCCTTAAAGGTCTCTGATCTACTTCTGGACTAACTTGTGAGCTATTTTATTAATTTATTTTATAATTCATATGTAAACTGTGGGAAAGAAAATTTGTTTTTGTTTGTTTGGGGGGGGGTTGTTTGTTTGTTTCTTTGAGACACGGTTTCTCTGCAACTTTGGAGCCTGTCCTGGAACTAGCTCTTGTAGACCAGGCTGACCTCAGACTCACAGAGATCCGCCTGCCTCTGTCTCCCAAGTGCTAGGATTAAAGACATGCACTACCACCTGGCTAACAGTAATTTTCTTAAGAGACTGTTGGTCTGCAAATAACATCTAGGATGTTTATGGAAATCTTTTTATACTTCAATGTCCATTTGAAGCCATCTAGTGGCTTTAAAGAAAAAAACTTAAATACACAGAAAAACAAAAACTGTTGGCGAAGTGCACAGTGCTCTCTGCACCATAGGCCCAGCATTTTCTCTACCAGCCACTGCTCCGCCTCCATCACCTCGGTCCAGCCCCACGTAGTGCTGTAACCAGACATCTGCACCGGAATGAGCACTTCTCATTGTTCCTTCTTCATATTGGGAAGGCCGCAGCCACTCTGGTGGGCTTCATTTTCCTTCCGTTTTCTCCAAAGGATGCTGACCTGTTGGATGTCGAGAGCAAACACTTTGAAGACTTGGAATTCCAGCAGCTTGAGCGTGAGAGCCGTCTGGATGAGGAAAAGGAGAACTTGACGCAACAGCTCCTGAGGGAGGTGGCGGAGTATCAACGGAACATCGTTGCTAGGAAGGTAGTTTGCTAGGTGATGCTTCATGTGAACAATGAAAGTTTAGTCTTTCCCGTGATGCAGTAATCATGGTCATTCATATATTTGTGAACTCGTCTGCCACGACATACAAGAATCCTTTTCTGTTAATCACATTTGCCCTGCAACAGACGCTGCTGTGCGCCCTATGAATTGAGACATGTTACAGGCGCTGTTACAGTGTTATAGAGGTATTAGTGGATAACACACACCGCCTCTTTTATTACTCTCATAAAAACCAAGTCAAAGATAACCAGCTATTTGTTTCAAATCCCTCCCTCTGTGAAAAAAATCTATTTTGAAATTTTCTCTCTCCATTGATTAAATAATCTCCAAAATACCTGGGAGCCTGTTACCATTAGCAACAGATCTGTAGAAAATCATTCTGCTTACTGTGGACTCCACCCAGGCCCTAGCACCTAGATGCCTAGCTCAGAATTTAGCATTTATTCCAGAATTTATAAGTATACCCTAGGATATTGTACTAATTTGGTAAAATTGAAAGATAAAGTTGATGGGAAGAATGAAGGGCAGAGAAAGCAACTTCTGGTTTAATAGAGAAATTCTTTTGTTTCTTCACTGGCATGTTAAGAAACAAATCAACTCATGGTCTAAAACAGGATTTCCTATCGAATTCTGAATTTTTAAAAATAATCTTTCAAATCCTGTGACCTGCACTGGCTGTAAGTCAGGAAGTGCTGAGCTTGGTCAAAGTCAGTGTTTCTTAGCCGTAGGTGGTCATGGTGGTCCACTGTCACCTGAAGTGTGGGTGGTGCCACGCAGGTTCTAAAGCCCGTTTTCTTTGCCCGGGACAAACTGGCAAACCCTAGATTGTCTCATGTGTGTCTCTACCATGTCTTCTGTCTCCCAGGAAAAGATTTCCGCACTGAAAAAGCAAGCCAGTCACATTGTTCAGCAGGCTCAGAGGGAACAAGATCATTTTGTAAAAGAGAAGAACAACCTAATAATGATGCTCCAAAGAGTGAGTCCTTCCTGCTGCATGGTGGTGACAACGGTGACAGTTTCTGGCTGGGGGAGGGCTGTTGTTTCTGGTGTCATGCCTTTACACTCCGAGAAAGCCGTTTTGTATTAACTTTCTATGCTGTCTTCCGCATTGGTAGCAATGCTCGCTGATGATTACCGACAACTCAGATAGTAAGCAAGGAGGTTTTCCTCACATCATTTCATCCCTGAAAGAACTATGGCAAATCTGCACTTTCTCTTATTTCCTTAAGAAAAAAAGTCAGGCTTCTCATCAAGTAGTTAAAGATATTCTAACAATAATTTATGGTAGATGTAAGGGGAAATGTTCTTTATACTGCTGTTGAATCCTTTGGCGCAAGTCCTGCAGTGTTTCCAGCTGCAATTATCCGTGTGTGGGGTCTTCCTCATGAATGTCACACTGAAGTTAGTTTGACTTAGCTGTATCTGGAGGTACTCCATATGCCTTGGTTAGAAGAGCACCAGCATCCTCTCCTGGGCCCATGTCCTTATTTGTCCCAGTAAAGTGACTCATAAAAAGGATTCCTAGGACGAAGAGAAAGAAAAAACAAACAAAAGCTGTAGCCACAACTCAGACCTGACCCATGGTATAACCTCAGGAATAAGATACCAAATACCAAAGCTGATGGAGTCTCAGGTCAGAGCCCCAACCTGGGGACATGATATTGAGGTAGTGGAAAGATGTGATGCACCCACAGCAGAGGCGGGAGGTGGAAGGAGTCCAGGATGAGGTGGACTGTGATAGCCACCACCAGGAAATGTGCATTCCCTTCTTAGCTACTGTTACTTACTAAAAAAGAAATGGGCTGTAGTTGTGGTGGCACACACCCGCGGGATTTGCTGAAGGAGCCGGAGGCAAGAGGATCACAAGTTCAAGGCCAGCCTGGGCTACACACTTTGTGCACCTTTAATCCCAGCACTCTGTAAATTCAAGGTCAACCAGTTATAGGATAGGAACCAAAGCTACCCAGAGAAACTCTGTCTGGGGAGTGGGGGGAGGAGGAGATCCTTTTTGTAAATTTATTAGTCCACTCTGTATCCTGCTTATATTCTGGAAGCTTCTTCCTGCTCTTTTCAGCTCCCCCAAGCCCCTGAATGGTGCTGTGGTCCCCTCCCCTGCCCTGCTCTGTGGGTCAGACTCTGTCTCCATGCAGCCACCCATAACCACTGTTCCCTTTGTACACAACATTCAAAATCACAGCTTAAATTACACACTATCATGTATGATTAAGTGGTTGTTGAAAGTTTAAGGGGAAAACAAAACCAAAAATACCTAAATGGTAGATTTTCTTTTTTACAAATAAGCAAATGAGTTCACAGATAACATAATTTCCCATTAAAAATGGAAAAAATTTAATCTGATTATGAAAATTATGGCTCATAAGTGATAAGAACTTTGTTTTCCTCATGACTATAAGTACCTTTCTATCTCAGTCAAAATTCCAGCAGACTTTTTTTTTTCATTTTGTAGAAATGGGAGACAAGTTTGGGCTAAACGTTAAGCTGACTTTTCTTAGTATGAATGCTGCATTTGTGGTTTGGCCTTCTTGCTAAAATGCACTTGAAGCATTTCCATAGTCACTCACAGACAGACTCAGAACAGTAAACACGTTGAATCAGCCCAATGTGCGCATTCCCAGTTGAACCTGAAAGACATCCTGCTGCCTCAATCGGCTCTCATGCTCAGGAAATGTTGTTGTGTACTGTTGAGTGCCGTGTGTGTGTGTGTGTGTGTGTGTGTGTGTGTGTGTGTGTGTGTGTG